CTCCTTGGGCTATTTGTATAATATAACACCGAACGTTGTTGTGAGCGATTCAAATGATGTTTATTAATTAAGCGGCAGCACGGTAAAATTGATTAAATACTAGAACGGTAGCATTAATAGCCGTCTCATGGCATTTAATTTTGATCAATGCGCCGTTTAAATTGTATCATCAGCCAACAGAACGGTCAAGCTAAACCGCACCATACTGAACACGCAGCCAACCAAACTATTCTTCTGCGAATTGGCCACAGAAAAATTGAAGAATTATTAATCTTATTCTAAAATGGACGTATAATTAATTTTTAAAGACTAGTGGCGACAACAGTCTTTAAAGAATGACAGACAATTAACAAACAAGAATACGTTCAAGGACATGCTTTGGAATAAATCATAGTTCACTCTGATGCAGAAAAGGTTTATAAAAAATAATATATAGGGACATATTAAAAATTGAGAAGGGAAACTTATAAATGTCGGCGGTACTGTAACTTCGAGCTCCATAACTTTGAAAGTATTATACTTAATAAAAAAATACTTTATTATATTTTGAAAATGTCCCGACGAGATTTACAACTCTTGTTTTGTGTCAAGGAAAAAATTCAATTCTATTTAAGAAATTTATAGTCACCTTCAAAATTCCTTAAAACTAGCGACATCTACAACATGACTCACATCGGAATTATGTCCTTCAAACCAAACAACTTTTGTTTGAAGAGCAATTTTCTCTCCAAGCAAAAATATAAGTTTTGGAGGGTGACAGATTAAAATGGGACACCTTACTCCATCGCGCGCGCGCGCGTGAAACTTATTGCTTGCATATTACTAGAATGGAAAAATGCTAATATCATAAGTAAAAGCAGTTTAAATTGTGTAAACGTGAAAAATGAGAAATTATTTATTAGGGAGAAGAAATCACTTCCTCTCTCTTCCTTTTTCATCGAGAACGAATCAAGAACAAGAAAATAATATAGAAAACAATCTTTTATATCTATATATTTATATTGTGTTATATTTACATATCACATATACATATACAATATGTATATAATTACAAATAAAAAGTAATGCTACATCTCGATTAAATTACCATTTTTTAATCTTTTATATCTGAATTCTGGTTCTGGACGTTTGTTGACCCAATCTTTTGTATCTAGTTTGTTTAATATACGTTTATGGTCGACGGCAGCTTCTCGAAATTTCGACAAGTCATCCTCATCTCCATCATCTGCAATTTGTCTATTCCTTTTGGAAGTCTTCACTTGTTCTGCACAGTTCTCTCTGACTTTTGCAGCAGTCAACAAGTTTTTTGATGTACTCATAAGTTTTATCCCATATTTCTTGCTTCTCTTCCGTTTCTCTTCATCACAACAGTTTGTAGTTTTATTGCCTTCTAGCTCTATAGTCCTAAAATTAACATTGATATAAGACAATTTATTAAAAACAGATTAATTTGTAGACAATTGAAATAATTACTTTGATGCTTACCGATCCAAAATTTCATCTAGTTTCTTGGCAATAAAACTCTGACACGCAGCGGTAACACCAAAATTTGTAAATTTATCCTCCTGTTTTGAGCTTGTTCTCCGTGAGTTTTTGTTTAGTTTGTCAATCTGTGCTACTTTAAAAATTGTAAATAATAATTAGCACACTATAATATCTCTATGATTATAAAAAGTGATTACATGAACACCTATTTGATAAATATTAAAGTGTAATACAATTAGTTTTATTTACCAGAAGAAGGAATAACTCGAGCTTCTTCCATGCTGTACAGATCATCATTTAAAAATTCTTGATCAATCGCTTCTCTCAGGATACTCGTAGACGCTTCATCTTCCGAACTGGATAGGTGTGCTCGCTCATTTACCTTCTTCATTATTAATTCTAATACCTATAAATCTACAATTTATACTTGCAATTAAAAAAGATAACCCAAAATAAGCAAAACACAAACAATATAGTAACAGTTTGCCTGCGGAGCCCACCGATATAATTTGATAGCAGAAGCCGCGAACAGCATCTGCCACTTTGTAACTATTTAAGGTAATACTGAAGGAGAGTGGCTTACTCACCGTTTTTGATGAAAATTTACAGGATCGTGTATTTTTGCCTGTAAAACACGAATCCGCAAGGGTAATTATTTAGAATACGGGCTCCACCTCAAATATGGATAAAATTAGGCTCATTCAATGCGTTTTGACTCGAAACGAAAAAATCTGGCAAAAAAATGCGGCGGTCTGCTTCGCGAAACGAGATATTAATCGTTAAAGTTGACGACTCGACAGGTTAGGAAAGCTGTCGTACCGACACCAAACACCAACCACAGTATAACCATAGACATAGTATAACCACTAACCCAGTAGTGGCACTCGCTCTTTTGTTTCACGTTCGCGCCGATCCGTACTGCGCATCTGACATGTTTTTATTCTGACCAATCACAGGATTTTTGTATGTGTGTTAGTGCAAAGTCGGTGTGACATTGGGCTTGTTTTCTGTTCCTGCACTGGTGAACTAGTGCAATAAATTGGAGTAAGACAAGTATATTTTTCTCATTCTAGCTTACTGCACTAGTTCACCAGTGCAGGAACAGAAAACAAGCCCATTGAAAAATTCGCAGTGTTGACAAATAACGCGTAATACTTTTATACGTTTGAGCAAGTAATTACATTAATTACTTTTATTAGAACATTTTTTTTCATAGGCCATTTCCATTTACAATAAATAATGTATTCCAGTTCGTATGCGCCTTTCCTGGATACGATCCTGAAAAGGGCCCAGGCACTTTTAGCCGTTGATACACTGTTGGCGCGAATAAAAACATGGCGGAAAATTGAGACCATAGACTTCTATAGACGGACCCTTTGTACGAGGGGTAACTGATAATCGCGGTAAGGGGATCACTCGTCTGACTTCGACTCTTTCCGGTGAGATTCGGTAATATTCGGTTCACATTTCCAATACGTGTGTACGGATCATCCCCACTCCAAGTTGGAGGGGATGATCCGTTCGGCCACGCGCGCGCGCACGCTCGCACACAAGCAACGCACCGTATATACGTGTGCACACGTATTGGAAATGTAACCGAATATTACCGAATCTCACCGGAAAGAGTCGATGTCAGATGAGTGCCTCCCGCGCCCCGAATATCAGAACCCCTCTTGTCCAGAGTTGTAGCTAATGCTCCGTCTATAGATGCCTATGATTGAGACCGCCCAGATCAAAGGTGCCGACCATGAAGAATAGAGATAAGGAGACCGAACTGTATGTTCGGGACACGCGACCAAAACCGATCCCTGATGGTTGTATCTTTAGGTA